CAGAGAGGTTGCCATCACAAATGGCAACATCTCTGCTACATCTTTAATGCTTTATATTCTGTACCAATCCTTGGCATTGTTTGTTGTCTCTTTATCATCATGTCAAGATTTTCAAGACATCCATTTCTTATGTTTTTTAATCATATTTCTTGAGATGATGTCATCTGCTGAGGTAATGAATTTCTTTTAATGGGTTCCACTTTGAATTTCTAGTTACATTCAAATTATTATACTTGCTTTTAGCTTTGTCAGCAAACATCTCTTTCAGATTCAGGAACCTATTATATTGTAGTTTAGGCATTGCTTTAGTCTTCTTTCTTTTCTGTAATTTTTGTTCTGATTATAACTGGAAGGTGGTTGTTCCCACAGTTGGCACTTGAATAGGTTTTACAGTTTAAAACTGCATTCTTGAATCTTTCGTTGATTGTTATATAGTCAATCTAGTTTTTTATATCTCATCCTAAACTTCTTTCTCAAGCGTTTTTGGTGCTTTTGAAATTAGATGTTGGTTGTTATATAGTAATTTGTTAAACACCTTGGATACATTTTCCCCGGTGCTCATTACTGGTTCATGGTCTAAACTTGCTGACTATTTCACTGCCATGTTCTTTTTCTACTTTAGCATTCCCATGATGATAGTAATCTCCTGTGATTTGCAGCCAGTCTTGGAGCTACCCAGTGTGCGAGTAAAATTTATCAGTTTCATCATTTGTACTTTGTGATGTTAGTGTGTATACTACTATAATGGATATATTAAACAGCTACCTTTTGAACTTAACTAGAAGAATGCTATCAGGCAATTGACAATATCACAGGGCATATTTCTTCATGCCTAGTATGAGTGCAAATGGATGTGTGTATGTCTGCTCCCACTAGATTAATACTAGGATCAGTATTTACCTACTTCCTCCCGACACATGATTGGGCACCTCGAGGCAGTGTAATGGTTAGCAAGCTTGTCTTGCTAGAACAATTATGACTGAGTAGTGACTTTGTTCCTCACTGGGTGCCCCCTACTTTCGGCCTTGTGCCACATCTAAGCTATGCTTGGAAAATCACTACTCCCAACAGATGATGTTTCAAGTTAACTGTAGAGTCCCTCATGCATACATTTGCATATGTCTAAAAATTGTCCATTTTTTTTGATAATTGATTTTTTTGGTTCACTACAGAAATCAGAGGGTTAATGTCTGATTTAGATGCAATGGGGAGGCACTCCTGAAACTGGAGACAAGATTTGAGTGGGAATTCAGAAATATTGGGGACTAATATAAGAAACTACCTATTTATTAAGTGCTAAGTTCAAATACTGAATGACTACATATAGTTAGGTTAGTTGGTAAAATAAATAACCAAAAAGAAAATAAATAATGATCCAAAACTGAATTTAAGCAAATGTAAATAAATAAATTATGTAAAAAATATTTTTCTGCATCACTTAATTTGTGTTTCTTGTGGAAATGTTTCATTTTTCAAAAAAAGTGACATTTTGTATTGGAAAATAATTGAATTATTTCCAGAGTGGCAGATCAATTCGCAAAATATGCAAATATTGCATTAAAAGTTGAACACTGGTTATTGAAAAGAAGGCCACAAAGTAAATGTATAACTTTACATTATCCATTCACTGTAAATCAATCTTCTGACGGCTAGGACCCACCATGTCACTTACATAGTAGTAAACCACCCACATTCTCTCTGTATTCCATCAGCAAGTAGTAAGTTCCACGAAAATATCTTCTTCTCATGAACCATTGCTCTGTGGAACAGACTCCCAAGAGGATGTTTCCCCAATCATTACAATCTTAACCAGTTCAAGTCTAGAGTTAACCGTTGTCTTCCTCTCCTGTTCATATAAACTACAACTTAACATAAGCCTCTAACTTGAGTGATGCCCAGGCCTAGTACAAAAAAAATCCCTTACATCTCCAATAAAAGTAAGTCAGAATATGACTATTTACATTTTTAAATAATTTCTGACACCTCTAAGGGCAAGCTATCGCTCCACAGTGTACACATTGGGTACCTCTGATATCATATGATAATAATAATATCCAACTAATGTTTCATTTATTCTTATATATCAACTTTTTTATATTTTAAATTTATTTTAATTTCTACCCAATTTCTTCTCTGGCAACATATAGTTACATATCGCTTTAGCCTTATGTGTGTTTGTACATATGTGATTGTGATGAACACTTCATCTAGGGGAAAGCAAATTCTGAAATAATAGGTAGATAGAGCTCATTAGCCATCTGAATGGTTATAATGGGTGAGAACTATAGAAGAAAGGTTTATTCTGACATTTGTATTTCACCCATTATGGGCATTATCAAATCAGTGATATAACAACAAATGGCTGAAATGGGAATTAATGAGAAAGATGCTTTGTTCTGAGAGAGAATTTTATACCACTATGGCATACACAAAACAAAAATCATATATACACATTTACACATGTCCCACAAAAAGAAATATATATCACATATATCTGCACAACAAGCATAGTAAGGAGAACAAAAAGATAGGGTCTTAAATATAATATAGAGATTCTTCTGTGCTTCTGGAGAAGCCATGTTTATGACTCCATATTCATCTACTATGTCCCAGGTGAGGACATATTTCACCTTCATCACTATATGAAGTGATATTATTAAACAGCCTTCAGCTGACCGATGTGACTTATCTTGACCAAAAGTAGATAATCACCTTCTGTATCCTTATATGGTCATCTATCTAGGAGAAGTAAACTGATATAAAACTGCCTAAATATCTAATGGAATACTGCACTGTATATCATGCAGGTTATCAAGGGACACATTCCTGAGTGACACTCTAAGCTGGGGTTGAAAAATCTGCCACTAGAAGAGAAAATCTAGTTAGTCACCTAACTTATCAACAACAACTAAAATCGAGTACAAAATCAAAACTTAAAATTTCCTCAAATGGGAAATAGGATAAGTCAATATCTGGTCAGGATCAGATGTTTGCAAGGTGAATTTCATTTTAGAACATACCAAATAACAGAAACCACAACACTGGAGGACTTTTAATAACAAGAAGAACTAAAATGGGTGGCACATGTAACTTGAAGAGAAAATAATGACATAATCAAGATGTTGACATTCCACATGACTTCAAACAAAAGGTTAGGAAGGAAATCCCCATTAGTACTGAGAAGAGTGATAGATGTTTTTTTTTTTCAAAATGTATCTTATACTGTAGAAATCATAAAAAGCTATTCTACTGAGTCATTTATGATCAAGTCATGTGAACTAGACAGTAGCTTTTTTAAGCTTCATTCCACTATTCTCCCTTAAGCAACAATCAATGGGAGAAAATAAAAAACAGATAATTAAATGTCTTTTCACCATATCAATATCACTTATCTGTTTCTGTAGATATTTGATATCTGCTTGCTGATTCTGATATGTCTGTCTCCGAGGTGGTAGATATTAAGATAAATGATGATGGAAATTTATTACGCATAACTTTGTTTAGACACAATGAGCTTAATACAAATAATCTGGAAGAGAAAATTGTTAACCATTACATTACCCCAATTGGGTGTGCGGAAAATATGGCCTTTTCTCATCTAATTCATTTAAAAGGCCAGAGTAGCTGTTAGCGTTTGATTGAGAGGGGGAGTCAGGGAATGATCTCCCTTGATTGGGTCAATTTGGTGTTGATGTGTATGATGTTGAAAGACCCAAAACTCCCTGATGAACCAAGTTAAATTACATCAATGATGACCCTCTCTGGCGCCTACTTAAGTGCATATTTTTGAATTAATTAGTAAGGGGCCACTTAGGATAAATAGTAACTGGAGGTCTATTCACCATACAGCACCTCCCACCGCACAAAAAGAGTCAAGGTTAGAGATATATCCTGATACCTGTAGCAAATGTTGAGCAGGTGTCTAGCAAAATTTAAACACCTATCTATATAAAAAAGAGTGTGTGTTGTATTATGGATCCATAGAAGTATCAAATAAATGCTCATTTTATGTTGCCTGTTTCTGAAAAATATACTGACTAGTGATTTAACCTGTAGACAGAATCTCCCCCACTGAATTGTTTATGGTAGGTTAGACACATAATTGTGATGTTGGAATCATTTTTTTGTAATAAAAAAATGTTGTCACTGAAAAGTTTATGGGCTTTCTATTATATTTAAATATATTTATAGAAAGCAAAAATCTTGTTATCAATCAAAAAGAAAACATGCTTTTGCCTCAATAATAATAATAATAATAATAATAAAAAGTTTGGGTGTTCCCAGTTAACTTTAGTTCAAATTTGGTGCAAATATAAAAGAAATGAGATGGTTAAAAATAGTAAAACATATCACAAAAGACTCCACAGATGCATGATTGAAAACCAAAAGCAATATATCATGAAAAAAAAATACAATATCTGTGCATATCTCTGGGATGAGGTATTATGATTACTTGCATTATTTACATTACTCAGACTATTATCCATATCGTCATTGTGATATTCACAACATTTCAGCCATTGTTACAATGTTTCGGCCAGCCTTCTTCAGATAATTGGAATTTTGAATCGAAACAAACGGTTTGGTTTAAAATTCCAATCACCTGAAGAAGGCTGGGGTGTAACACTATTTGGGTTGCTGGTAATTAATAATCAAAATGGCGACTTGAAAACAAGATAATAATGAATAACTTAGAATGAAAAGGGTTAACCAATACTGGAAAAATAGTCTTATAGTAAGAATTGTTCCCAGAGAATCGAAATATGTACAATGGACCAAATGACTGCTTGAAAGCGATTCTCAGTTTGTGTGAACAAATCAGCTGTTGACAGCCTATAACAACCAATGCCTGATTCATTTCATGAGATATCGGAATGAAAAACAATGAATTGAACACCTGCGGTTGAGTGCTAAAAACTTTCCCTGGGTCAGAGGTAAGAGAGCCAAATGTGGTGTCAATTCATTTATGAGAAAATGTTTTTTATCAATCTTCGACTGACTGTTGGAGGTGACAGGCACAGAAGAACGATCAAGGAAGGATGAGGGGATAGTCTGCACCCACTGAAGAGTAGCAGACACAGAGGAGACATGAAGGAGCTGCTCATGCCCATTGGAGAGCAATAGTGAGAGATGGTACTAAGAGAAGATGCAGGCAGCTGGGTGAGCAATGTCTGCAACCTCCCCACACACACACCATGAGAGAGAGAGAGAGAGAATTCCCCAAAATTATGAAACTAATTTGATTTCTCATGAACAAAAATAATAGACTTTTGTTGGAAATCAGGAGGATTCGCTGAAACCCAGTCTACATCTTGCCCTGCACTGGTTTCTAGTTGGAGTTCATAAAAATGACTGCGTGAAAACCATTCAGACAGTCAGTTGAGTTCACTTTGAGAGCTGAGTTCAAGTTGAGTTCAGAGAGACAGCCAGAGAGCTGAGAAGGGAAGCAATGGAGGTCGCTGAGAAATTCCACACTTCCTGCCAAATACAAGAACCTCTGACTTTAGTCTTGAACCAAACTTACCAAAACAGTAAAACAAATTTTGATAACTCTGCAAGTCAACAAAACTTACAGCTTACCCAAGTGTTGCATCCAATTTAGGAATGGGTTGGGTCAAAAAACACCTGTATACGAACACAACTACTAATGAACCCTTCTATGCAGAATTGATATAAAAATAGTAATTATTTTTTATATATATTTTGAGTGCTGTTTTTTCGTCACTTTTATTGTACAACTTTGCTTGATTTGGACCAGCCCAACACAAAGATATCTGCGATAAATCAATCTTGGCCTCCTTATAATCAAAATAATCATAACATTGGGTAAGGTAGGTCAGGATTGAAGAGATCACTCTGTTGATCAAATCAGGATTGGATTGAAGTGTTGTGAACTTGGATTGATGCCAGGCTGACCGCGATGAAGTATTACATTTGGTTTGCTGCAAGCCAGAATTGAGCCTGATGTGTTAAATTTGGTTTGCTGTAAGCCAGGATCAAGTCGAAGTATTACAGAGTGTACAATGGCCAAAATGTTGTGAACATGGCAATGAAGATGAGGATAACAGTCCAAATAATGTAAATAATACAAGTAAAAAATGTACAACAAAACAAATGAAAACCAAATGTGTTGAAACAGGAATCTGTTTATAACAGAACTGTAAAAAATTGACTGAATGAAATAGGATTTTTTATACAGAAAAGCAAAAGCCCGAACTAACATACAAGCTGATGAAAATGAGGTTAAAAAGGAATAATAAGAAACAATCATGGTGTGTAGATGACTGAATGAAAATGATATTTAGTGATGAATCAAGAATTTACATTAATCAAGATAATGATGCTGTAACTTTTGGCTGGTGCATCAATAATCATTTTGTCTGATGCAAAGTGTGATTATCTCCCTTTGGTTAAAACAAAATCATGAGGATAATGTGATGGCCAATAAGACATATGAGCTTGTGGTGTGTCAGAACCAGAATTGCTATTTAACACATATAAAGGGAAGACATGTCTATCCACGCCAGTTACTGATAGTAGACCACTAATGCACTAGATATTATCTGAAGCCCACAGCAGTAGGGAGAATAGAAGAGCCCACATGGTATCACAAATTTTATAAAATAAATCATCATCTTAACCAATTTTCCTTTGTGATATTCAAGGAATTTAAAGTAAAACTTTCTTGCTTCTTGCCTTTCCACTCTGCTTGTTTTATTTATATGTTACAATTTCTCTATATTTATATATTTGTATATAATTTATTATATGATATAGCTGTATAATTACTATATCACAGATACAATAATACCTGGAATGGAGGAATGTAAATAGAAAATATTCTTTCTTGTCTAGCACCTCCATTACATCAATAATAAATTAGTCCACTGAAGATGTTTGTTGAGTTACCACCCACTAATTTTCGAAACCACTACTAGCGGATGCTTTCTGGCACTATAAATACTCAGTGATCTCTTTTCTCGCCCTCTTTTTTCCATTTTTCCGCAGAGACATCAACATGGAAATTTCTTGCAGAAGAACGTGTTCCCTTTTTGAGACACATATAAACTATACACACACACACACACACACACACACACACACACACACACACACATGCACACATATATATACATAACTTTCACTTCATTTTTTCTAGGTCTTTTTCCTACACCAAACTACACATACACAAACAATTCACTAGCTTAAATGTTTTCCCCATTAATGCTCATTGTTCAGTAACACACAACAATATTCTTTTGTAACCCTTTATTGTTAATACATTATCATTTGTCTGTACATATATATCGGTTCTTGTTTTTTCTTTACATTCTTTTAGGTGGACTCATACTCCAAGTCTGCCATGTTTGTTGTGGGCATTTCAGGAGACACATGTGTTTATCTTTCAACATGTACACTGGCCTGCAACATGTTCTATGAAAAATTATTATATTTGTGATAATCCATTAAGAGATTAATAAATGTTCTGTTTTGTTGTTTCTGTAGAGGACCATGTGGGTTTGAGTGTTGCTGTTTTAGAAACATGTGCTGCTTATTTCCTGCTAGAAGGAGGTTCAAACTACAAGAACAGGGTGAACTCAAATTTAGTCCAACCGAAGATGAAAAGAAAACAAACAAGACAGATATATATATATATATAGGTCAACAAATATATGTATTAAACAACAATTTTACAAGTGACAAAGACATTAACATTTGAGTTTGTATGTTGGTGAATATTCCTATGTACATGTGTGTGTTTCATGTTCACAGAATCTTCCACAAATGGGAAGACGCTTATCTTTTGCGAGAGCTTACATTGTAGATGTGTTCGCTGAGATGAAGAAATGAAAAAGAGAATGAGGCGATAAGTCACCCAGTATTTATATTGTAGGGAGAGAGACCCCTAGTGACAATTAGGGAATTAAGGAGGGGCTAACTCCGACATTTCAATAATTCATTTTAATATTTGGATGATCATGGTGATTGAGATAGTACTTAAGAACTTTTTCTTCCAACATATATTATAAATGTATTTCCTGAATAAAAAATCACTTCTTTCTTGCCTTCAACTCATTGACAAGTAAGGGATCAAAAGCAGCCAAATTCCAGCAGATTTTTCCATCTTTTCATTTTTTTTTACCTTTGTTAATATTTTACTTTCATAATTTTAAGTTTTTCTTTTTCTTTCTAATTTTTGTTACATTAAACCTTTTTCTACTTCTTATTTCATTTATTTTTTGTTTGTAAAATACTTTTTTATTATTCATTTTTCATCTTTATTCATGTTTATTGTTTTTTTTTCTTTCTTCACATTTTTCTTTTTTCAACCAAAATGGAGGATGCAATAAGTTAAAAAGCAAAAAAAAGAGGGATAGGCCAAGGGAGGCAATCATACTAAAAAAAAAAAAAAAAAAAAGAGACAGATTTCAGTGAACCAAAAATTTCAATCAACCAAAAAGACCAAAAGAGAAAAAAAATTACAAAATCAAGAGAAAGCATTTGATTTATTGGTTAAAAACTAAAACTTAAACAAGAAATAAAAGAGAGAAAAGAAATAATTGCTAAAAAAGAAAAAAATAATCAAATTCCTTGAATAAAGTTAAATGATTTGGATGCCTTGTTTTTTTCTTGTAGGCATTGATGTATTGCAAAATTTTTACCACTTCTCCATTATATATTCAAACTTGGCATATTTCCTACTTTCATTTCATAGGTGGGTCTAATTTTAATTTTTTTTTTCTGTTCATATACCATAATTGTACCATTTGTCAGGTTTTGAATCATGTCTTTCTTAAATAAGATCTGGGTTTGCATTTTCTTCCTGCATACTCTCAGTAAAAACTATAAACAGAAATTGGCATTTATAATTTATAATTAATATTTTTATCGTAGCTCTCAGTTTATACAGCTTTCAATAGAATCAATTCTGGTCATTGTGTATACATTTAACTGTACCTTATTAACTGAACTCTGTTTTGTTTTTATACTTATTTTAATTTCCATGGTGGTCCGAAAGTATCGTCACCACCTACCTCTCTTCCAAACTGTAGTAGCTCATGTCAGCCATCTGAAATAGAAAATTATATTATTTAGGAAGGAAAAAATTTTGTACCACCCTGTACTTTCATTCAATAAAAGAGAAAATATAAACTTCATGAAGTTGTGATAATTTCTACCTGCAACAAAATGTGTTGTTACAATTTCTCTTTCTGAGATGAGGAATTATTATTATTAACATATTATAATTCAGCTTGTTCCTGAGTTAGCATCTGTTTTGCCCAGCCAATACATCATAAATAATGAACACTTCCATTTTAATTACTAGGAAAGATGCAAAACATATGTAACAGATGTTGTTTGATTTCAGTTAGAAAAAGAAAGAAAGAAAAGAAAGAGGTGATGACAGCATTCTCATGTATTTAATGTTTGTTTCAGTGAAAAGGAAAAACTTGTCAATTTCAAATCTTTTTTTTTTTTTTTTTTTTTTTTTAAGCATTTCACCCCAAGCAAGGCGGGAAGCCACTAGGACGCAAGGGGTTACAGAAAATATAGAGCGAGATCAGATAAGAGTGATAGAAGAGGGTATGAGGAGAAGGGTAGTGGATAGATCAAGGCAACTGGAGATGTTGATTGACATTACACTTGAATAGCTGGAGATTATGGCTCTCAGGGAAACTGGAATAGGGAAGGGAGTTCCACAGGCGAGAGGTGCGAGATATGAAGCTATTAGAGTAGAAGAGACGGCTACCTGGAAGCCCTCTTTGATTGTTCCTATCTTCAAGAACTCTGGCGACCCCTCTGACCCTTCTAACTACCGTCCTATCAGTCTCCTACCCCTCTTCAGCAAAGTCTTTGAAGCCCTAATTAATACCGAGGTGGTTAACCACCTCACATCCCATGATATGCTCTCAGACAAGCAATAGGGATTCCACTTTGCCCGATCTACAGCTGATGTTACGGCCATCACTGAAACTGTCTACATTTGATAGGGTTTGGCATGCCGGCCTTCTTCACAAGCTCCAGGGTTATGGCATTACGGGTCAATTATATAACCTAATACAATCATTTTTGTCAAACCGTGAATTAAAGGTCGTTCTCAACGGATTCT